TACAATGTTAAGTGTAGCGCAGTGGTATTACTGGAACACTCTTGCCGAAGACGTGAAGTTATACGTCGCGACTTGTGAAACATGTAGCCGATACAAGACGAGCAGTCTGCGTGCAAATGGCAGGATGATTCCCATTCCCGCTCCGGAAGAGTGTTGGCAAACTGTTTCAGCGCATTGGATCACTGGTTTGCCCGTGTCAAAAGGCTAAGATGCTGTTTTGGTCGTCGTAGACAAGCTCTCCAAGCTGGCCAAAGTACATCCCGAGGAGATCAGATGTCGATGCACCCCAAACGGCGAAGGAATTCTTCGAACATGTTGTCCGCCATCATGGACTACCAGCAATGATCATCAGTGACCGTGACCCCAAGTTTACAAGCACGTTTTGGAAGACCCTCATGGATATTATGGGTATTCGCCAAGCCATGACTATCGCTGGCAGAGCTCAAGCCGATGGAGCGACTGAGCGCCAGAATCGAACTCTCGAAGATGCGCTCAGATGCCAAGTGTCGTATCTAGGACAAGACTGGATCAACCATTTGCCAACGATCGAGTATGCCCACCAAGGATTGGTCCAAGCATCAACCGGCTTGACGAGGTTCGAAGTCGACACAGACGGCAAGTTGTGCAACCCTGCCGTGAGCAGCTCCTTGCCCAAAAATGACTTTGCCAAGAATTCTGCGTAATATCGAAAGGAAGTCATTCGAATGGCTCACGAGAATTTGACGAAGGCCCAACAACGTCAGAAGGAGTATTATGACAAGCGCCGTTCGAACGTGACCTTCAAGAAAGGCGATCAAGTACTGCTAGCGACTCGCAACCTGCATTTAAAGTATGCCCAGATGCTCGACAAGTCCGAGCGTCCCAAGTTGGTTCCACGATTCATCGGTCCCATTGAGATTGTCCAAGCCATTAATGACAACGCCATCCGCCTCAATATTGCCTCGCTCGATGTCACGTGTGCATGACGAGTTCAATGTCGATCTACTTAAGCACTATCACCCCAACAAAGCCAAGTTTGCCTCCCGGTCTATCCCGAAAGCTACTCCCGTTAGTTTAAACGAATCCACCGGCGAAGAAATGTACATTGTCGACAAACTGCTCAAGAAGCGCCAGTTCAATCGCAAGTTGGAATATTTGGTCAAGTGGCATGGACAGCCCGAAAGCGACGCCACGTGGGAACTGATAAATGACATCAAGCATGTTGTACACTTCAAGCAACTCGTCCAAGACAAGGCATTTCAAGGTGTAGCAAGACGTCAAGGGGAGAATGTAGCGATGTGACAGGTGGGGGTAACGCCTTGTCACCACCTTGCCCGCACCCAGCTCCTAAGTACCTGGCTCATGACGAACCCTCTCTAACTTGCCTGGGAATGTGTCTCAAGGACAAGTATGGCATAGAATCGCTAGTCTAGTGAAGTTCCCCAATGTATCAACCGCACCCGCATCCATTGTATACAAAAGTGCATATTAGTGTAGAAGTAGTGAAGTAGACTAAGAAGATTTCATAGTGATGAGGTTAAGGAGATCTTAGTAGATCCTCAGTTAATTCGTTGTGCATTTTGCCCTCAACTACACACGCCTCCTTCCGCAGTGCTACAATTTTACACACCACTTTGTTTAGTAGTACTAGTAGTATATACTATTAATAGATATTGTAACGTTTCGTATTTGTTTCGTAAACCACAGAGTAAATAGAAATTATCACGGATTTAACTACGCGACATTTTGATGACGCGGAACTCGGCGGTTTGCTGGATTGCGGCAACTCCCGCGGGGTTATCGTCCGAGAAGAAGTAGCTTCGGGGTCCAGTCGCATATTGGTCGGCCTGGAACGGCAAGGTGATGTAGTTGACAACCATCTTGACTCCATCTGGAATATCAATGTTCTTCTTCATGGTGTTGAATGCCCCGACGCCTTTCGGGTGACCATCCTGCGACATGGTTACTTGGCCTGCGTGCACCGCCTTCATGTTGTCATCGTACCAAAAACAGTCCACAAACGGATA